TGTCTCCCACTAACCCCCCAGCTCTATTGGTTTCTTGCCAGGTCAGGTGTGTGGTGAGTGCTTCAGCTCTGCTGCTGGTGCTGCTATGCTTCCTCCCAGCGCTCTGCTCCAGCTCCGGCTTGCTCCCTACGTAGGTCAGAGCCCCCAGGTCCACTCCCTGGGGCTGTAGCACACATCCCACCCTGCTCACTGCTCCAGCCGGGGTGGGTACTGCTTCCTCATGTGGTATATGGCCCTGTCCTATATGGTCCTACACTGTACCCTGGTGCCCAGGGGAGCAGATTTAGCCTGAGTAGGAAAAGATCTGTGGCTGCTGGGACTTCCCATGTGCAGCCTGAGAGTAGGTTGGCTTGTCTGGAAGAAGAGTGCTTGAAGCTGGGGGAGCAGCCTGGCACCCCTGTCCCCATGGCCACAGCAAGGGGCCTGCCCAGCTCTGTGGTGCAGTGCAGCATGAACACCCAGGGCTGCTTTACTGCTGTGTTGTGGTGAGAGGATTAAAAGAGGGGAATGTTCCCTGTGAAACTGCTTGTCTGCATCTCTTTTTTTTCACCGCTCTCGGCAGGCAGCCCAACTTCCGCGTGTCCCAGTGAGCCTCTCCAGCCAAGGGTGCTGATGCTGTCCCCAGGCTCTGCTCACCCCCACCAGCGCAGGGCTGCTGCCCCTGCCTTCCAAGCTCTGGCAGCTCCTCAGCCTGGACACCCAGCTCCCTCTCCATGGGCAGCCAAGAAGTTCTGCCTGTACCCCTGCCACTGCCTGCCTGTGCTGATCCCCCTTCCCGCAGCACCCAGCCCCGCAGGCTCTGAACAGCCACGCCTGCAGCCTTGTGTTAACTCCCATCAGGAGCACGCTGGGCCAGGGATTAACTTTCCCCGCTTACTGCTAATGCTCTGGCCACCCTGCCCCGCCACGGCTGTCCTCCTCTGCCCTTCCCCTCCGGTAACGCTCGGCTGCTCAACCCAGACAGCATGGCCCGTTCTCCTGGTGCCCTGGTGGGACCCCCTCCCCAGAGACAGACACATGTCCACACCTTCGCAAGAACATCTTTTACTCCAAACACAAGGCAACGCCGGTGCTGAGAGCAGTGGCAGAGCGGGCACTGGGTCCCCCCACCTCACTCCAGCACGGCAGCGGGACCCAGACCGCAGCTCTGCCCT